CAGGTTTGGCGAAAATAGGGAATCCCTACAGAGCTTCCTTCTCAATTTGTACTTGTACGCATTCGAACAGTTCTATTGCATATCAAATTGCAATTATTTTGTTAATAATTCTTCTGACATGGGTCGAAGTATAATTAATGATATTTTAACTTGGTTAGGATTTAAATCTGAAGCTTAAAGACGATTCAAGTAGTGAAACAGACATTGACAGTATTGATTTGTTTAATGAAATCAATACTTTAAAGTTGCATTTTCCAGAAAACCAGTCTAATGATCCACAAACCCCATTACAATATCTTTTTACTAATGACTTAATTTCAACAGTTCCAAACACAGCAATAGCACTAAGAATATTACTTACATTGCCGGTTTCAGTTGCATTTGGTGAAAGGTCCTTTTCAAAGTTAAAAATTATAAAAAACTATTTAATTAATTAATTAATTTAAGATCAACAATGCACCAGCAAAGACTAAGTAATTTAGTTTATAGCTATAGTTTCAATTGAACATGAAATCTTAGACTGCTTGGATACAAGAAAATTGATAGCAGATTTCGCAAACACGAAGGCAAGAAGAGTTCAATAAAGATAAATATTTATATGGTTTTACACTTAAGTAAATAAAAATAACTTAGTAATAATAAATAGTTCTTTTTGTAAAGTATTTCTTTTCTTTTTTCACACCTTTATGAGACAACACTAAAGAGCTTTACTGGCAAGCTCAGCGCAGGTAATCGTAGTTAAACGGGGCGATATAATCGGTATTGCACACGGGCGTTCAAACAGCTAGCGGCGCCCCTGTTAATACATTACTTTATAATAAAAACAACTGTCAAACCAGTTTCATAACATCAGTTTTATTCAACAGCCAAGTTGTATTCTATCTTATATGCTCTATTCGATGCCTGTTTCTATGCTCCTGATTCTATTCAATGATTCAGGCTTTGTATGAGTCTAAGACTTGGATAATAGCATGTAAAGGAGCATGTGGGGAGAACATGAGATAGAAAATAATTTAGATGCTGAACAGAATTGCAGTCCATATGAGAAAACTTCTCTAATGTTGGAAAATCAAAGTAATGTTGATATTGGTAAACTACTAAGAATAAAGTGAATTAATAATTGTTTGAAATTACTCCACTGATCAGAACTTTTCAAAGTTAAGTATAACTTTGAAATTATTCCAATTTCCTTTTTATTTATTTGGTAGTCTAAATATAGAAAAAATTGCATTCTAGTACAAATTTAATAAATCTATTAAATATTTAAGAATAAATTAATATGCAAGTGCATCTTTTAATGAATAAATAATTTGTTATGAAGTCTGGATAAAAAGAAGAAATTAAATAATAAAATATTATACTGTTTTGGTCAGAACTTAATAACATTAAAAATCTTATTCTAATATTATTATTGATATTTTTATATTTATGTATTGTTTATTTAGATTGATGGTAGATCACAATTAATGTCATCAGTGTGAATGATTTTATATATAGCCCATAATTATTGTTTATATACATAAAGAGGTGGCATTTATGTCTTTAAAAGTTGCTAAATCTCAAAATAAATGAATTTTGAGATTTAGCAACCAACTTTTTTTTTTTTTTTTTTTTGTATATCATAGCATGCTGTTACCATAATATATTGCATATCTTTAAATATAGTTTGGGCATTTATTTTAAATTCATCTTTGTCTTCTTGACATTTTGGTTCTAATTGTTAAAAGTGAAGCGATTATGTATAATGATTCAGTTTGACTGTAAACTATGTTTAATTGAACAAACAAATACAAAGAACAGTTGACCAGCATAAGCCTTCTGTGCTAGTTTTGTAACATGATGGAACTCAGTACAAAAACGTGCAAGACAATGTGATGTCCCCTGGAAGTTGAGAATAACAGTACAAAATTCACATTCCTTAATACCCCCTCATTTTGATGTCTCTTGAGATGTCGAAATGTAGTGCTATATTTGAGACATTTATAGCACTTAAAATATGTAAGGACTTCTATACATAAACACTATATCCAATCTGTCACATAACATTGAACTTCTGAATTTGACAAACTTCTCTTTTCTCAAAGCTTTCATAAAAATGTCAGCAATATTTTCATTTGTATTGACATGTTCAATTGAAATTTCCTTGTTTCTACACAAGTCTTTGATGTAGTGGTATCTTATATCAATATGCTTACCCCTCTTTGAATTCTCAAATGTTTTCATCATAGAAATTGCACTTATGATGTCAACTTTGAGGATTGCAGTATTACATTTATCAAATTCTGACAAAATACTTTCCCAGTTCATTAATTCTTGAGCTGCAGTGCTAGCTGAGATATATTCAGCCTCCATGGATGAAAGAGCCACACAGTTCTGTTTTCTGGAGTACCATGTGATTGGATTTCCAGCATGAAAACCAATATTTTTCTCACACTTTCTGGTTTTCATCACTATGCACAAGTTCACCTATTGTGGTAGAACATCTTTCGTTACGGTAAAAACGGACTCTAGAATCCTTTCCTTCTACACACGTTGAGCAAGTTTGATTTGAAACTTTGAGTCTAAGCTGTCACAGTGCATCTTTTCGTATGTGACCAAGACATCGATGCCACAAATCATCTTCAGCTGCAACCAATGTTCCCTCTAAGCTGCACGGTTGCGTGGCCGTGCACTGCTCAAATTGTTGCCGCGCACGAGAATTTATTGCCGATTTGAATTATTGTTTACTTATTTCTCACTCTGTCTGCAACATGATTATTGTTGCATATACAGTAGAACCTCTATTATCCGGATTTTCGATTATCTGGATTGTTCAAAATAAACAAAAATTTTACGAATTTGCTGATTTGCACTTGGCGAATTACGATACTGTTTATGAACGTGATGGAATGCATAACTTTTTTTGTTTCAACGTCTCACCCAGCACAGTGGTCATAAACTCTTAAATATATTTTACGTAGTAATAAAAATATAACTTGACATACGTATTTATAAATTATTTATATTCAAATTACATCATTTCTATGACCAAGGGCGGCGTAAGGCATGGACGACGTGGGCCACCGCCCATGCCTCGCGGTCCGAAGGGCCTCGCGCCTCGAAGGTTTATGCATTACTTAAAAGCCGCGAATGCAACAAAAAAATTTTGTCATAAAACGATAAATAGTTTGTCAAATTTTTATTCATAAAAATGCAGTTTCAACTGCTTTTTATTTTATAAAATCCGTCTTTTTGCGCCACCAGAAGGCCTTTTAAACAATGGGTAGTCTGTTAGCGTTGGTTAGTAGTAGTCCAAATTCAATATGAACGTTTGTTTCTTGAAAATTTGATCACGATTTAAATACAGTATTTACTTTTAATATTACCGATATGTCATCAAAAAGAAAATGTGTTGTATTATTATTAAAAGACAAATTAAAGTATTTGTTTCGATTATTCGGATTTTTCCTTATCCGGACTACCTTCATCCCCAATTAGTCCGGATAATCGAGGTTCCACTGTATTTCGATTAAATACATTTAAATTATTGACAAAAGATAATATTTCGTATAAAAGTATGTTTTAAAATAAATTTTAATCTCTACTTTATAATTCATTATTTTCATTTTTATAGGAAAAAATAAGATTTTATATATATAGGCTCAGAAAAATTTTTTGTTCAGAATCTGCTCAGCAAAAATTTTTTTTGCTCAGAGAAGTATATGTTCCACTCATCTACAAAAAAAATTAGAGGGAACATTGGCTGCAATATGACACTCTTCTTTAATCCTATTGTTCAGTTCCAAAGTATAGAGCCCATTTGCTCTGTTACATTTCAACAAATCATTGTATATTCCTTCTCTACCACAATCCAATGTCCTTTTGAGGTCATCTTTTATAGTGATGGCAAATTATGCTTAATATCAGGAACTATGAGCACCTAAATGGTTATAGCATGTCCCTGACATGTTGCCTGCAGCTCACCATTTTAGTTACCTTTAAAATTTCTCCATTAGCTATATAAATAGTCACTTTGTGATCCAATGACAAAACATTACATATAAGGGGTTCTTGTTTCCTTAAGTGTCATAAAACACGTCTCATCTCCAAATGCATAGTGCTTAAGTACAGTTCATTTCCTAATGAGGTTTGAACCTTATTACCTCAATTTGAATTTATTGCTTGCAATGTAACCTTGGGTAAGTTACGTCACTTGTAATTGCCGTTTTATAATTTTTAGAATATTGTTCTAATTCAAATTTGTTTAAAATTGTTCGAAAGCTTAAAATTCAATAGCTGTTGTATTTGATTTCGCCTGACGATGGTAACTTTATGCTACTGAAACAAAGTTTTATTTATTGTGAAGTTTTATTTATTTAGAATAGACATGAATCATCTGAGAATTTAGATTATAAAAAACTATATAATTTGATAATCAAATTGCTTTTTTTAATGAGTTATTTGGTTTGATAAAATTATTAATGATATTTATAGCCTGTAATTACCAACACCTCTGATAAAAGTATATTAATGAAACTAGTGAACATTCTCATTTTTAAAATTCCTGTTTCATGTTTTATTGTTATGCAGAGGGTAAAAATCTTTTGTATGAATCAGACTTTTCCTATTGTAATTAAAATAAATAAATTTTTCTGAAATTGACTTACCTTTAATAAATTGGCTTTGTTAAATTACTAATGATTAATTTAACAAAGGATTTACTATTTAAATCTCAACATAAGTGTTATAATTTTCTGTAGTATAAACTAAAATNATTTGTTTAAAATTGTTCGAAAGCTTAAAATTCAATAGCTGTTGTATTTGATTTCGCCTGACGATGGTAACTTTATGCTACTGAAACAAAGTTTTATTTATTGTGAAGTTTTATTTATTTAGAATAGACATGAATCATCTGAGAATTTAGATTATAAAAAACTATATAATTTGATAATCAAATTGCTTTTTTTAATGAGTTATTTGGTTTGATAAAATTATTAATGATATTTATAGCCTGTAATTACCAACACCTCTGATAAAAGTATATTAATGAAACTAGTGAACATTCTCATTTTTAAAATTCCTGTTTCATGTTTTATTGTTATGCAGAGGGTAAAAATCTTTTGTATGAATCAGACTTTTCCTATTGTAATTAAAATAAATAAATTTTTCTGAAATTGACTTACCTTTAATAAATTGGCTTTGTTAAATTACTAATGATTAATTTAACAAAGGATTTACTATTTAAATCTCAACATAAGTGTTATAATTTTCTGTAGTATAAACTAAAATGAAACCAATTCAAATTTTAAGAAAAATTATAATAATTAAGAAAATATTTAAATTTTCCCACAGGATTTACTTAGATTATTGTAACATTTAAAAACATTTTTTACAGAAGCACAAAAAATAGTTGTATCCATCAACAATTTGGTTAGCATTGTGGTGCCCATTGTAATTGTCATTACTGTTTTAATTGCTGCTGTAGTATTCTTTGCTGTTAGACATCATCGACTGCAGAGAAGCTTTTTGTCATTTGCAAATAGTCATTATGATACACATGCCGTTTCTGCAACTTTTTCAAATAATGAAGAACTGGGTATGTTTTCTGTATTTTCATTTAGTAATATTTAAACTATATGACTTTTTTATTATCTGAACCCTTTTAATTTAAGATAAGAATTTTGTGTTGTTTGTGTTATATATATCATTTATTTAAGTTTTATAGTTGTTCCAAACTATAATACTGTAAATCTGCAGTTTTATCTGATATACATAGTTATGTAGTTATAGTGTGGTTATAATACATATATGTAGTTGTAGATATAGTAGATGTATATAGTTAGTTATTTCACTATTTACATTTCTTTTATTAAAAGTATTGGTTACACAGTTCTTTGATTTATATATCTATAATGAAAATAAATTGAAGCTTGTGGACCCAAAAGATAAAACCGGATTTAAGAAGTTGTTTAGATTAATAATATAAAATCAGGATTTTAACATAAATAATAAAGCAAACATGTGTATTTTTGCATGGTTTATTTATTTGTTTATGCAGATTTACAGTATTAATCTTCACAGTTATGAAGAATACTGGGATGACAGATTCAATCTATATTTAATTATATACATTGAATTGAATTAAAACAAGTACTATCATTTCAATCAATAATTTAGTAAAATGAACAATAATGAAGACTGCAAAGATTTTTAAGAAACATTTAAAATTAAAATAAATACAATAAATAAAACTTTGCAATAAAACTAATAAAAATAGAAAAAATAAACATTAATTACAAAATTACTGAATCATTAAAAAATATGATAACAACTGCAAAAGATTTTATTTTTTAATGATTCAGTAATTCATAATTATAGATAAGAACTGCAAGTAATACATATTCTTAAACACAAATAAACAGTTAAGAATACATTTGGAATAGGGCTGGACAGAGCTGCCCCAATGCTTTGTAAACTCACATTCCATCAGTGCACTAACTATAGTCTATAAAAAGAATAGACATGAATCATCTGAGAATTTAGATTATAAAAAACTATATAATTTGATAATCAAATTGCTTTTTTTAATGAGTTATTTGGTTTGATAAAATTATTAATGATATTTATAGCCTGTAATTACCAACACCTCTGATAAAAGTATATTAATGAAATTCACTTAATTTAACTATATTTTTAAACAGTTTTATAAAAGTAATGATCTTATTGTTTTGTGTTCTTTAACTTTTAGAATCAACATAGCTATATTTTCTAAGATAATTGTAAAGGTTTTAAAAAAAAATTTTCATTAATATCAATTTAATCAATAATTATTTTGAAATCTTGTTACATATCATAAACAATAATTTTATTAATTAGCTATGTAGCATAATTTTAACCAATTTATCTTTTGTTTAAGTTACAAATTACATTTTTATTTCTTTAGATGAGGAAGAAGATTCTCCAATGATACGTGGATTTTCTGATGATGAACCACTAATAGTGGCATAAATATCTTGAGTTTGCTCTAAAAGTTAATTAAAATATATTTAACATTTTTTCAAAAATTACATATATATATATACTGTGTATAATATTTCTGCACTTGTTCTTTTTTTTTTTTTCATCTGTATTATAGTTTTTCTACATATATAAAAAATCTACATTCAGGGAATTAAATTAATTTTCTGCATTTTGTTCTTTTATTACAATACAGATGGAAATGTATTTAATATTTGTTATAATCTGTGATATATAAAATATATATTTTTGGACTAAGTATATGAAATATTTCATACTGTATTATTATTATTATAGTTATTATTATTTTTTTCTTTTCCAAAATTTTGAATATGTATTGTTGTTTAATATTGTACAGAGAGTTAATAATAATATAAAATATTATAAAAAATTATTAGTATTTTTTTATGGTTTGTTTATTGGATAAATAATTACTTTGTGCATATAATAATTTAATTGTTTCAATATTGTTGATTATCCAAAGAATTTTAATTACATTGAATGTATTTCTTATTGAAATTATAGTTTTTTTAACTCCTACATTTGATAATAATAATATTTTATATTATTTCTATAATATCTTAATTCATTTCCATGGTTATAGGTTCAAAGCTTAAAAATAGAGATGATAATCAGTTTAATGTACAGAATGGTCACAATGTCTTTTCACACTCTTCAGTTTTGTACCTATCAATATGATTATGTAACTAGCAATAAAACTTATTGCAAATATTGTTCATTTTAATAGAAAATACATCAACAATATAAGGAATTTTATATAAAAATTTTGATAAAAATATGTGGACTAACATCATAAACTTTTTGTATATAAAAAATTATTCTACATTAAAATAGTTACTGATTTGCATGAATAAATTTGCAAACTTATACAACCTTTTCATCAATTTTGCAAATTAAAAATCTTCCCAATCTTTTGATTGAAGTTTTGCCTTCTTTGTAACTTACTGCAGCTTCTTTAAAGGCCATTTTCAAAATTTGACATGTTTCTATTGTTGTCTTTCCAAGTTTAAATCAAAATTTCATCAAAACACATGCTCTTCAATTTGGTCCATCTTGAAAATTGATGGAACAAATAAAATCAAATTACAGAAACTATTAATAATGTCATGAAAGAAAAAATTTTTGACATGAATCCAATGGCAGTTAACTCAACCTGATAATCACATCAAATAATATCACTAGTTTCTTCTCTGTATGCTAACTATGAAGCTAGGTGCATAGTTATTTTTTTTATCAAACTTATCAAATAATAGAATTGATTAAGTAAATGTCATGTGACATTAGAACAAGAATTGATCTTGTTCTAATGTCAACTATATACTCCTTAAAATGATATAAACACATACATATGCTTATACACTTCTATACTGCAAACAAAAAAAAGTTTTAGTTAAGTTAGCTCAAAATTTAATGAGTGATAAGATATTGTGACCATATCCTATACTATTAATAATCAAATGTGTTAAAATTTTATTATATGAAATTCTAAAAAATTATTTCTAACATTGTTAAATTAAAAAAAAATAATAAAATAGAATTATTCAGTTATTTAAAATGTACTTTGGATAATTGACTTCAGCTTTTCTTTTAGATAATTTTTAAATATTTAGTGAATCTCACTTCAAATCTTTTTTCTTTCTTCAAAAATTCTTATATTTTTAAAAGAAACTGAGTGATAAAATTTTTAAAATGTTTATTTAACGATCAGTTCATAAATCTCTTCTTTCGTCAGTTTAAAATCAAATTTATGAATCTTCTAGACACAATTTACAATAGTCACATTTGAAGCACTAATTCTGTATTAAATATTCATTAAATTTGGATTTAAACTGAATGACTTCCTTGTATATATGAAAGAATTATCTTCTTCTATAATTTTAGTATTATATTTTGATGTTTACTTTTTTTTCTAGAAATAATATGCTTTTTAAAAAAGCATCTTTTCATTTAGAATTTTGTAGACTTTTTTTACAATTGTTTTATTCATGATAAATTATTATTAAATCTATAAATCAATAAAAATATATATATAATAAAATATTAATTTAAAGAGTGTAATACTAATGTTTATTATTATTTTTTAGTTAATGTTCAAAAGTAAATGTAATGAAAGTACAGTGGGTGATCGGTTAATGAACATAATCCATTCCAAGACTTTGTTCATTAACCGATTATCAATTTATCATAGGTTTTTATGGGAATTTGATTAATTTGTTCTGGAGATTCCAAAAAATAAAAAATATATATTTTTTACTACGTTTATTTATATGTAATAATAAAAATACATATATATATATACATACATATACACAGTCTTGCATTTTTATTAGTCATGTTTTTTCCATTTGTGGGGGGTTAAAGAATCTGTCTAATGTCTATTGCTTTTTTCTCTTCAGGATTTTTCAGAAGTAATTAATAGCATTGTAATTGTAGAGATTCCTAAGTCTATTAAACTTAACTTGGTTTGGATGCCATTCTAAGACTGTTGTTCTGACATCCTCTCACTTTTTCAAAAGATGTTTAATAGCAGATGTCGGCATTAATCCTCTTTTTCAGAAGGAAACGTATCTTGCCAAGTTTCTTGGTGTTCTTCATTCAAGAGTTCTTGGCATTCTTCTGTTGTCAGATCAGTTTCAGGTTCCATTATGAACTCTTCAATGTTCTTTATTTCTCAGATGTGATTTTTGTTACTCCTTTAGCTGCTTGAGTCTTCTTGATTATACTACATCTTTCTTAGATAAGATTGAACTGCGGCCTACTGTAGACCTATTCAAGCTATACTGTCCAGCAACATCAGACATCTGCTCGCCCTCTACCTTTGCTATTATACCCTCATCTTTCAAAAATAAAACCGGCGCAAAATTTAACAAGTGCTTGCCTGACAGTCTCGTGAATACTATAAAAGAATTGTTTCTGTCAGAAAAATAAAAGGCTGCAATTACAAGAGGGAGTTTCAATGTTTGGAGGAATACTATCCGATCAGTATATACCAGGTTGAGTGTCGATGTCGACATCTCCTGCGCTCCAAAAGGTTTTGAATTGTTGTCTGAAGACAAGGGAGGGAAGACCAATCAGTATTCATTATTTTATGTCACTTCTTCTGGTGTTTGTTCTGGGAGGTGTTCTTTGTCTGAACATAAAAATCTTTTGTGAAAGTGTTTGTTAACCAATCACCCACTGTACTTGAATAAGTATTTATTCTAAATTTTATAATTGTGAATTGCTAAATTCTTATTCATAAAGATATTAATCTTCATCAAAATCAGAAAGAAAAACAATTTTACTGTTTCTTCCAACAAAAGCAGCAGTTTTAATCATTTATTTTACAAAATGAGGAGAAAATATAGTTAAATTAATTATGGATGATGCTTTATCCTTTTATAAGCATAATTTTCAATTGAAGATATTGTTTTATTTAGTTAATTATGTCTTAAAAGTGGTGTCTTTGCTATTATTAATAATTAGATTTGTTCAGGTTCAATATATTTAAATAATTTATCTAATTATACAAATATAAAATTATCAGATTTTTGTATCTTATAAGTACAGTCAAATCCCTCTATAGCAATATTTAGTGGAACAATGAAAAAAAATTATAGAAAAATGTTATAGTGAGAATTTTTAAAAAGTTTCTTCTTCCCCATTTGTCTTTGACTATAAATAGAGGTCATTCTACAAAGTTAGACAATGTTCGAACAAAATATCATAGTATTATTAGGCATATTATTATGGAATTATTATTAACAAAAAAAATTAGGTGCTAAAACGGCAAAAACATGCTACTAAATCTGGAAACCTGCTATCGTCAGTACTGATGCTAACTGACTGCAGATAACATTTTTACTGGAATCACTATATTAAGAGAGTGCTATATTTTGATTCCAAAAAAAAAAAAAGAGCTATAAATTAAAATTTAATTTTCTCTATAGCAATAGTAATGCAATAAGGAAAATACTATGCATTTTACAAGTACAGTACATAAAAAAATTGTATTGATGAACAGAGATTTGTTCCAGTAGAAGATATTGTTTAATTGGTAGAAGTTTTATGTTAAGCTACTACAAATTGTATGAGAACTATATTTTGTATCATTATGCTGTACTGAGATTTGACTGTATTATAAAATAGTAAACAAAAATAAAAATTATAACCTGGTTCACAAATCAAATTCTTAACAAGAAAGATATTATTTAGTCTTAAAAACCAGGGCTGTGGAATCATACTTGGAGTCAGTCAGTCAAGCTATTTTGGGTTGAATCAGACTCCAACCTCAATATAAATTTAAATATAGGATATAACTCTAAAAAGTAGCAAGATGATTCAAATGAAATGTCTTATGGTACTATTTACCTTATTAATAGATTTGTGGTTATTAATACATATTAAACTTTTATGAAAAGAAATAGAAATTTAAGATTTAAAAATTGAAGAGCCAGCATTGGGGTCAGTAGTTTTTATGTAATGTGTCCACAGCCTATTTGTAACAACTAAAAATTGATTCATAAAAATGAAAGTTCTCTTTGGTCTTCCTCTATTGTTTTATTGTTCAGTGACAACAATTATATTTTCTAATTTATTACAAAATATGAGATTAGCTGGCCAAATGAAGGTAATGAAAATGATACATTTAGTAAATATTATTTAGAGAAAGAAGGTATAATGATATTTTGCAATGCTGCTGTATTTTCTCCACATTTTGTAATATTTTAGTTATTACTTGTTAATATATCATCTACAATATTTCTCATTACTATATTATGAAATTTATTGATACAATTTTCTTAAATCTCTTTCAAAAATTATATTATTACTGGTATTTATAATTAAAATTATAAATTTTAATGAGATTGTTACTAAATTTTTTAGGAAATACCTTTTGATTGAATTAGTATGCATTTAAATTTCTATGCCAAAACATTACAATTGTATATTTAAGTTTATAATTTGTACAGAGATTATTTTTGTAAATTTTACAATTATAAATTCCATTTATTGTTAAAAACATAAATCTAAATACTTTTTCCTTTTATAATTTTAATAAAATTAAATTTCTTAAAATTTATTGTATATTGCATAT